GACGGTGATTTTGATTTCGGTGAGTTTGTGATTTTTGATTCCGGTGATTCCTGGTGAGACCACTTGCAGCCGGAATCTCCTCCAATTTGCAGGGCTTGATTCCTGTTCGAACCATCGTTCTTTTCAAAAACCGGATCTTTCCCAGAGTTTCTAGAAAGAAGGATCCCTGGAAAGAATGGGGAAGCAACCAAAGCCAGCAACAGACCAGGGTGGACTCGAACCTCCATTTTCATGTGCGTCAGCATGGGCTGATGACAATGATGCCTTATCCACTTGGCGACTGGTCCGGCTGATCCCATTCTTGGCGGTGTTTGTATTTAACGCTGGAGGTCACTGTTCCCTTGGGGCATGTTGGCCTCTGCAAATGGGTCGAGTCTTCCATTTCGCGGAAGGCCCAAGAAAGACGGCAAGGATAGCTGCCTGCTTGAGCCAGCCAAGGCAAGTGCAACAGCTCTGCCCCTTAGGGGCCCAGAAGCTATCTTGCTGGTGCGATAGGTAGGGAATGAAAGCACCAGTTGGGGTCCTTCCATTTCTCATTCCCTGCTGAGAAATAGCAAGTTCAAGGTGATCACCTTTCGGGGCCACTAAGTGGAACAGGTCATTCCGGCTCAGCCACCCCCATTCCACAAAATGGAACTCGTAGGCAGGCCTCCGCAACCACTGGACTTCCGTTGGTTCATCGCAGCCAAATATGTCACATGGGTCCATGTAACTGCTACCCACTCCTTCCCCCACCAACACTGAAGCCTGACTCGGGCTTCCTTGCAAGCACGCCAGACTTTTCAGGGCAATGGGTGCCATGCCTGAAACTCAGATCCCCCCCCCCCCACCGGCGACGACAGAGCCTTGTAAAGCTTTCATGAGTTCGTAGCTAGGGTTGGTTCCCACTTCCGTGATATTTGCCACGGATCCCCCCCTTTCAAGCAGACAAGTACTTGGGCAAGTGGTTAGTAGCCTGGGGTGCAGCCTACTTTCCACCATTCCAACTCCACTTGGGGGACTTCTACGTAGGCTTTACCCCAGGTTGCTAACCCACCCAAGTAGCAATTTGGTGGTCCTTCCGTTGGCATCACGTGGTTGAAAGTCCCACAACCCTGCTAAAAGAGGCGGACTCCAAGTCAAGCTTCCATCTGCTCCAGCAGCTACCAAGAGAACCTCGACTTGAATGGGCCGCTTGAGGCCACCACCAAGAAAACATCTGGGGCCCTTCTGTTGAGGGTGTGTGTGTGTGTGTGCGCATTTGTGTTCAAAGGATGGTACCCCCCATTCTGCGAACCACAGTCTGAGAACTCGCCACGTCCTGAGCCGGGCGTTCTCCTCCTCTTGCTCCTGCTGACGCCTGGATCGGGTTGGAAAAAGGCGTCCAACCCGAACTAGTATCTCACTTGTTTGGGCTAGAACCATGGTGACCCATGGTTGTAAGTGGGTTTGGCTATAGCCAGCTTAGCAAAGTTGGCTTGAGTCGGCTTGACGCATGGTTGCAAGATAGGGAACTAACCCCCCCACCGGTTGTAAGGCAACTCATCGCAGGTAACCCACATTAACCCACAGTCAAAAACGAACATAAGCTGCTCAAACAGTGGGTTCAACATCAGCAGCGGTCAAGCAATAAATGTGAGCGCGCCTCTTGGTCTTGTAAATCTGCGTCTCCTCAGATGCAAGGAAACCGCGGAAGCCCGAGGTGTCATATGTGCCCTAGATGAACAAATCCCAGGCTTGTAATAGGGAGACCCATTCTACGGGAGGTCCTTTTTTGAGGGAAACCCACTCAACTGCGCAAGGTAGCCGGAAACAAAAAAACACACACACACACAAACAAAAAAAGCAACCCGAGCTTGCGCTGCATCCGGCTCCGACCAGGGACATAAACCTCAACAACATGAATCCTTGGGTCCTTTCCAGCTGACGAACCCGCCTCTACATGTGCAAGCAAGCTTGCCGCCATATGGCTGGCATGGCTCTCTGGGAACTCATGGCAATCTGGGCGAATCCTAAAGCACAAGCCGAAAGGTTAGTGAGCCCGCCGTCTTGCATGGAGAGTTCACTCGCCACCCTTTGCTTGCATAAGGCTGCTTTAGTTGGATGCAATCAATGCTCGTCCCAACATTTCCTGACAGCGCAGGATAGCTAGGCGCATTTGTGACCGTCATCCTGAGAAACCAGAAAGCGCGCGCCAACCCTGCCCAAAAAGCCGCATACTTTTCCTGGAAATCCTCACGGAACCTGAAAAGGGGGGGTCCATTGCCCAACCATGCGAATCTGGGGAGCATCCTTCGCCCCGCGGCTCTCCCCAAGGCGTGTCTCAGGTGCTTTTCGAGCGGCCAAATCCGCCTTGGTGGTGAGGGCATCGCGGATATCCGCCCGCAAACGGTCCTGAGGCTGACCCGGGCGGGGCTGCACAGCACCCCACTTGCACAACCCTTTTGGATGACCACCCCCCCTAAAACCACCCCCCTTGAATGCCCACTCCCCTTGGATGACCACACCCGTTGGATGACCTCACCCCTGGGATGATCCCCTGAAATAAGAATCGGATGCCAAAGTACCTGACCTACACAAAAGTGGTCTGATTCCCCACGAAACCCAGTTGAGCCATGTCCTAAATGCGTCATGATTTGCTATGTCGTGTCATTCTGCTTACGCCACCAGCTTACCCCACCTGATGCGCGTGGAGTCTTTCCCTACGCGCTGGTCGATGTGAAATGACTCTTGCTAAGCACACGGAGGTTTTGGATGCCGCTCAGGTGGGTTGATTCATATGGGGTCAACATTACTGGGGTTCCAATTGCCAAGTGCCCCTCATGTTGAGAATCCGTTTCGTTGAAGTAAGTTGCAACACTCTGTGCAAGTGCGGGCACCCCACCTATTTAATCAGGGCTTTCATGTCCATTGCGTAACCCAACGGAAGGATGAAGGATTGCCTTTGAACAGCCCTGACGTCCTCCAGACTGCCGAATGCTGGTCTTTCGAAACTGAAACTGAACCCCACTGCTTCCCCTGAATCTCAGCTCGCTCACGGGAGCTTGCCACAGCATGGCAGGCGACACTAAGGTTTGAAGCAAATGCAAAACAATGGCATGAATTGCAAATCTCTGCTGAGAGCATCACATGTGTCGCAGCAATCTAGTATGCAAGGGGCCTACCCAAAGCACGACATGGTAACCAGACATTCAAACAGCCAAATATCCGCTACTATCTATGGTTGGAACTTTCCATTACCTCCATCCAACTGGCGGAATCCACTTTGATGGTGACTCATCTGGATTGCTGGGTTCTAGGCTGGAATTAGGACCCCAGCAAAAAATCATCTGTTTAGCCTAGTTAGCGGAAAACAAAGGGACCGCAAAAAAGCAAACAACTTTAAAGGGGGAGCTAATTCTGGGGAAGGGTTGCATGTCCCCTTGAAGCTTTCTCGTGCCACATGCGGTCGGAGATTAAGAAGATCCTGGTCCCGTTTCAGAGGGAAGCCTGCAGTTCAGGGACACGCCATACTGGGCTGTCCGCACATCCCCTGCTAAAAGCTTGACTTTGAGTAGGTTACATGGACGCGCCCGCGAAACCAACTAAAAACCCCCAAAAAAAACCACAGGGCTCGGCAGGGAACCACCAAGAAATGCATGCAACAAGTTTCATCGGGGTCGACAGGCTTTGCCCTAGCTGCTTAGCTTGCTGCCCAGTCTCTGCTGTGGAGCGGGCGACTTCTTCCATTTTCAGGCGGTCGTCAGTGCACTGCGACCTGCAAATCCCAGCTCGCTAGTTGCAGCACCGCTTCTTTTTTTTCTCCTCCTGTGGATGGACGAAATCCTGCACCACTTTGAAACCATGGGAAACCAAAATTTGTTGTTTTTTGCAGGAGAATCATCATTCCGGGGTTTCTTAGGTGGTGCAGGTTTTTGTCCATCCACAGTCGGGTGCTCTATGAACTCTTCGGCTTCCCATCCATGAGATATCCTCCATTTGCTTTAGTCCCCTGAAAAAATGAAAAAACATGTCCAGTAGTGATAAATTCCCCTTAAAACCAGCCGGGCAAAAATAAAGAATATCCTCAACCAAACGAAATATATCCGTGGCAGGTATAAAATTGGTATGCTGTGAATGGGACAAACCACCAATCCCAAGTGGTGCGTTTTTGTGATGTTTGTTCAATCCACTAGAAATCTAATATCCGGGCTGTCCTGAGATCCCCCGCTAGAAGTTTAACTTTTAGTGGGTTGAATGGAAATCCAACCACTAAACAAACTAAAAAGCTAAAAAGCTGAGGAACCGAATGGCTGGGCTTGCCACCAAGATGTGATTCGATGCAGGCGGTCTCCAAGGAATTCGTGTCTCAGGACTGCTTTCCGGAGCCCTTCCCGTGCGAAATCGATGGCCCAGATTTGAGTAGAATTCCATGAGAATGGGCCACCCTTTCTTGGCTTAAATCGGCTTTAAACTCAGCTGAGTTGGGACCTAGAAATGAAAGGTTAGCCTTTTGGGGGCCATGACTAAAAATGGTTGCCAAATCAGGGAAACTAAAAGGTCAGATCTGGGTCGATTCGCTTTGGTTGCAAGTGAGAATTGGAAACGCTCTCCAAACCAAAAGGCAAGAAAAGAAGACCAAGACCAGTAAAATCCGTCTATCTTCCACCGAACCTGCAGAGACAGAGACAGAGACACAGACAGACAGACAGACAGACAGGCCGGCAGACAAACACCTTCGGGACGCCACGGGTCACTTCCGACCGAGTGAATTGGCCGAAACAAGTACCAAACTGCTGGTTTACCAAACGGTCCAAACCTAAAAAGTGACTAAGGCCTAGAAACTCGGAGTCCAAACATCCTGTTTGCCACTTTTCATGATCCAAGCCCTAAACAAGTATAACAAGTCCAGAAACTCGGAGCACAATTTTATGCGCTCTGCCATTTTCATACCGTCCAACCCCCAAAACGCATAAACAGTCCCGAAACTCGGGAAGTGAGGTGGCCCAAAACGGCCAAAGATCTAGGGGTTGATTCCCCAT